GAACCATCTCAGAGTTCAGTTTTATTTCTGGAAGCCTATTGGATCATAATCACCACCAAGCATTCCATATTTTGAATTCAAAAGGAAAGGAAGAAGAGAGAGAGAAAAAATGATGCTACTGCAGAGCAATTTCTAGCACTAAAATAATAATAATAATAATAAAAACTAATTTCTGCTGAGACTGAGGTACGGATCATCATATTTGGTATCAATGTGTTTTGCAGGAAGGTAAGTAAAATGCAAAAATGCAAAAGCTTTAAATGTGGAACAGGGTGCTGGATTCCCAGGGAAACCCTCTACCTCTGACTTTTGCAAAAAAAAAAAAAAAAAAAAAAGTGAATAATCATTTCTCAAGAAAGGAGGCTACTCGGGGATCAGAGCAGGCTGGTAACTGGGAGGGATAGGCCATGCAAATATATTGTCCTAGATATCCTTATTAGTTTTGCTGTAACCTGATACAAGGGTTCCTGTATGGCAGCAGGGTTTGCTGTGTACTTGCAAGCTCTTATGGAGGGGGGTTGAGGGCAAGCAAGTGTTGTCCTTCACTTTCCAGTTACTAGCAAAGAGGTAAAAAAAAAAAAAAAAAAAAAAAAAAAAAAAAAAAAGATCACTTGACAGAAGGTAGAGCATAAAAACTGTCTTCAGGAGACTCAAAAGGAGCGTGTGCTTTGCCACAACTTCACTCCTTCTTACCTGCTTTTTGTTGCTTCCGTAATGTGGAAAAAAAAATAGTGAAAATTTCAGGAAGTTCAGGGTAGAGTAAAGAAAGTGAGATATCTATACCACACCTTTGTGTTTTGGGGATTTCATCACCTATGCCAGGGGCAGGGAGGTTGGGAAGGGGGGTGTGAACGTGGGCACAGGTCTCTCTCGGGTGCAGCCGAGGCTTGGCAGTGAGTGTCCTTTTCCTAGCAGCTTTCAGACACTCAGCAGAATTCATACTGAAGCAGAAGTTTTATTCCTGAGAATAGCACTATACTGGAGGCCTTTTTAAATAGATGCATATAAAGTGACATTTCCTCTAGCAGCAGTTTCTTTCTTGGACGTTTTAAGACCTGACGACATCAGAAATTATTTTTGGTTTTAATATATAGGGATACTTCAATTAGGAGGCTGGATTTTTTTGTTTGGTTGGTTGGTTGGTTGTATTTTTTTCTTTGTTTTTCCCGGGCATGTGAGTTCTGGGCAGGGCCGATTTCTCACCGGCTCCCTCCCTCCCGGCACTGCGCGGGAAGCACCTGCGGCCACGCGCGCTCCTGGAGGCGCGTGGAGGGCGGGCCCGGTGGCGCCGCGTGCGGGGCCCGTGCGGCTCCCACGGGCGCCCGTTCCGCGCGCGGCTGCTCCCCGGGCCGCGCTCCGTGTCGGGCGGCTCCGCAGCCCCCGGAGCCGCCTCTGCCGACGAGCGCCGGTCCTTCGGGAAGCACCTGCGCTCCGCGGCAGGGCCAGCTCACCGGCTTGTTTTAAAAGCGGCACTTGCACTATATATTTAGATGTGCGAGTGTATATCTATAAATGCATATATTGGTGTATATTTATATGTCTGAATATGGTGGTGGTTTTNTTTTTTTTTTTTGAGAGAGAGAGCGATTTCTTTGCTCAGGACCCCGAGCACCTCACGCTCAGGTCCCGACTGCCCCACGGGGCTCCGATGGGGACAAGGCCGAAGGGTGACATGGTTCGGACACCCACGCGAGCGCCCACTCGGGCGCTACGGCTCCGTGAGCAGGTGCAGGGGCTGCCCCTGCTCCCTCGCCGCCGCCCGAGGATGATCCCTGCTGGCACCCGCACGCCGGGGATCCCAGGCATCGCTTTTTCTTTTTTTTTTTTTTCCTCCTTGAAGCGGAGAGGGGATGGGGGGGCGGGGGGTAGGGAGACATTTGGGAGACCGGAGGAGAGGAGAGACAGATAGTTTTCATTACCTGCTCACAATAAAGTGTTTTCCCTCCAACTTTCCATCGTGGCATCACAGAAATCCTCCAGGGCTCCTCATTGTTTCCAGGACTTTGGGGTGTCGGGTTCAGACGCAAAGATGAGAGATAGGAAAGGATTCGGGGGGGGGGGCGGCGGGTTAATTATTAGTATTTATTTTTCAGTTTTGTGTTTGTTTAGGGCTTTTTATTATCTCTTCCTCCTGGGGCCAAGCAGCAGGGGAAGATGGAGCCGCGCTGAGCACGCACAAACGTCGGCCCGCGTTGCGGGGCTCGGAGCGCACGTCTATTTTTGTGTAGGCAAATGAGAGCGGAGAAAACGTTGATGAAAAGGGAAGTAACGGGGCGAGGGGCAGGGGCCGGCTGCCCCCTCGCCGCGGTTTTCGGAGGAAGGAGCGAGGCAGCCAGAAACCTCTTTGCTCGGGGAGGCTGGGGGCGAAGGGGGGTCCCCAGCGCCCGCCCCTCCTCGCAGAGCCGTCGAGGGGAGCAAGTCCTGTGAGGCGAAATCCAAGAAGCGGAGAGGCGGGAGGAGGGGAAAGGGGGACCGTTTGGGAAAGTGGCGGCAATTTCTGCCCCGCGGAGGCGCCCAGTTTCGGGAAGGGAGGCAGGAGCTGTGGGGAGCGACAGGGAGCCCTTGCCCGTCAGGGATGCTCAGGAAGGACCGGGAAAACAGCTCCTCTCTGACCTCGTTTTTCCTCGTCCTTGGAAGCCCTTCATCCTCCAGAGATGCCTGGCGTCGGCGGGACCCGGGTTATTCAATCGCCCCGAGTTTTTTCTTTTTTGGGGGAGAGGGCAGGGGGGTGAGGATAGATATTTTCAGCTACTCCCACCGACAGGAGAGCAGAGCCCTGTCTGAGCAGCGGTTTTTCGGTTGTTGTTGTTTCTTTCTTTCTTAAATGCCTGTAAATTCTTTTCCTCTCGAACAACCCCCTACCTAAGGCTGACCACTAACTAACGCGCTGGTGATTTGCGGACAGCAGGGATCTCCTGGTCCTTATCGTTTCACGCAGTCGCCTTTCCGGTGAAACCGGTGTTTATGAAGACAGAGATGATCTCTGCCCTTCCATCCTCTCCAAACGCGGCCACATCCAGGGATGAAAGAATTGCCTTTACACTGGCAATTGAGCAAGTGGCCTGAGTTTAGCCGCTAGGAAACGTGCTCCCTCTCTATACCCTCGGAAAGAGGAATTTGTGCAAAATCTCTACTTTTCTGACCTCTTCCCACGCCCTGACAAGAACAGATATAAGTCGGGTGTAGGGCTCAGCATCCCAAACTCATCACCCAAGCTCAGTATAGAGGGCAGGGGGTGGCAGCGGGTCCCTAAGGAACTGCCTAATCTCGAGCAGAGAAGGAGAGATCTTCTTGAAAAAAACACGAGGAGGGTTGTAGAGGGAAAGCTATCAATTTTCCTCACTAATAATTTTATTACTACTACTACTACTACTACTACTGCTACTGCTAGTACTATTACTATTTTCTCTTTGAAAGGAATCTTTGGCCTTTCTGGGCACTAGTACGGGAAGCTTGTGTGTGCATGTAGGGACACACGGGCATCTGTGTGTCCTGTGTACGGGAACATGTCTGTCTGCCCCTCCCGCCAATATATATATATATATGTCTATATGTCTATATGTCTATATGTATATATGTATATATGTATATATATGTATTTATATTCATATATTTATATATATATAAAGTGAGAGAAAAAAAGAAGAGTCAAAAAAGTGCAAGAACATTCAGAAAATAAAAACTCCGGGAAGATTTTTAGGGTGGCTTGAAGGGCATGTCTTAGTTGTATGGGAACTGCTTCAGAGCTTTTGATTATTATTATTATTATTATTATTATTATTATTATTATTATTATTATTATTATTATTATTATTATTATTATTATTATTAATAATTAATAATAATAATTGTTATTATTATTATCTGAAAGGAAAGTACTATTACTTTTTTGTTGTTGTTTTTGAGTGACTGCTGAAAAAGAAATAAATTCGTAACGATCACAGCTTCGTGAATCGGCTCCCCATTTTCTTTCTGCGCCCTTGAGGCCTAAGGACCCTGGGCCACTCCGGGCTGCCGGCAGGTACAGGCGCTGGGGCTTGGATTTAGGAATAACGCCAGCGTGCAAACGCGAGGTTGAAGAGTCTCCTCTGTGACACGAAAACAAATCAAATCAAAACAGAACAAAAACTCTCCGAAACGCACATTCAGCTGTTTGCTCGCACTGTGTTCTGACGAACCACCGGGCTTAGTTGTGTTTCAAACGTTTTTCTCGAGCGAGGGGGTGAAATGACGATCCAGGGTATTTAGTGCAGGGTTGTCTGCGGTATTTCTACTTTGCCCGGTTTTTGGGCAAGCAAAGCCTCGTTTGTTCAGCTTCTTGCGCCGCGGAGGAAGGGAGTGGGGGGCGCCGCGACAGCCTGAGGTGTGAACCCGCGTGTTTCTTGCCCTCTCAGAGAGAGGTAATAGTTATTTTGCAGAAAACTTATCCAGAGGCTTTGCCTGACTGGTAGCTGTAAAACCTTCTGTCTCTGCCTTTGCCTCTCCACTGCTACTCCAGGAAGAGCTAAAGAAACGCTTGAGAGGCAGTTGGTTGCAAGCAAACTTTGATTCTTTCTACAACAGATGTCAGAGTTTTCTTGGGTTTTGGCTGCGTCTGGGGACATCTTGTGATGTTTTAGAGAACAGGACATGATCTCACATGGTGAGAAGCTCTTTAGTTTCTTAATCATTTCACGGTTCCTTCAGAGGCTTTTTTTCCACCTAAAACGTTTAGTTTCAGCTCAGTGATCAGCTGCAAAAGCTCGGCGGGGAGCGGAAGAGTTGAATTATTCCGACCTGCGAAGAGCTCCGAAAAGAAAAAGAAAAAGAAAAAGAAAAAGAAAAGGGAAACGAAAAGAACAGAAAGAAAAGAAAGGAAAAGAAAGGAAAATAGAAGAAAGGAAAAGAAAAAAAAAAAGGAAAAATAGAAAAGAAGAGGAAAAGAAAGCCAACAATAACATTAAGTGGAAACTTTTCCCCCCTCTCTCCCCGTCCATTTCACCAAATCCTGAAAAAGCAGAATGGAATTAGAGAAAAGCTTCGCAGCCTCCAGGAGCGGCCGAGCAGGTAGGACCCGGCACCGGGGAACTGCGAGTCGTGGCGAGGACCCCGCTCCCCTGCGCAAGGCGCTGCCGGCCGGGGTAGGGGCCACACTCAGCCCCACGCTGTCTCACTGTCGCGCGTGGGGCACAGCGGGCCGCGGTGCGAGCTTGGCGCTGCTTTCCGCGAGAAACGAAGGCACTCATCGGTGAACGCCAAGGCACTTGCGGGCCCAGCGGACTCCCGGGTTTTCTCGGCCGTGTGCGCTTTGCACTTTCGAAATTAGGGGGGGATTGTCGGGACGAGGCAGTTTTCTTTGGTGGGAAAAAAAAAAAGAAAAAAAAAACCCGCCAGGACCCCAAGGAGGTGGCACGCTGGTCTGATGCTCAGAGTGGGTTCCGAGGCGACCTGCGTGACGTGCGGCGTGTCCACGCGCTGCTCGGCCTCAGGGCTGGCACTCCGCTTGTCCAGGGTGCCCAGGAGGAGCGGGGCGGCCGCGGCCGCCCCCACGGGGGAGGAGGGCAGGGATGGAGAGACTGGACGTGTGCAGGGGAGCTGTGTATAAAGAATGCAATTTCGAAGCGATCGATGGGGCCTTTTATTAGTTAAATCGCCTGAATAATCGTTTAATCGATAAAGCATTTCATTGCTCCTAGCCGCAGGCCCCTGCGTGGCGCGGGGAAGGCCGAAGTGGGGCGGGGACGAGGCGGGG